GAAGGGGCAACATGCGCTGCACTCGAAACCAGAACCCAGCACATGTAGGTCGGGCGCCTGGCCCCTGAGGGGGCCTGGCCAACGCCAGCCCAGGCGCCTGCCCAGGAGCCTTCTCAGCTGCTGCTCCTTCTGCACCGCCTCCTCTGTGTCCGTTCCCCCTTCCTCCGCCGGGTGAGGGGCGCGTCAGTCAGTCTGTCTTCCCTCGCTCAGTCTGCTTTCTTCGTCCGCATGGTTCTCCGCCTCCTCCTCCTCCTCCTCCTCCTCCTTCTGCCTCCTCGTCTTTCTCCACGCGCGCCAGACGGTCGCGAGAAGTATTGGGGGGGCGGCCGGGCAGAGGCCGACGACGTGAAGGAGAAGGCCAGGAAGGAGCTGGAGAAGCACCGCGAGTGCCTGGACCTGCCCGGCATCCGGCTGAGCAAGGCCCACCTCCCGGGTTTGGAGGGAGGAGAGGGGGACGGATGCGGAGCGTGAGATGTGGATGTGGATGTCGGGGGCGGAAAAGAGGGGGGTGATGACTAGGGGCGGGTGGATATCATGGCGGGGGCCATGATATTTCCCCAGATTGTATGGCGCCTCTTCTTATTTCATTGCGTCCCTGGCCCCCCCGCTGGGCCGCGCACATGCCGCCGGTCATGATTTGCACCCCCCTCTTGGACACCCCCCTCTTGGCCGCTCCCGAGGATGAGGGGAAGGGAACCCACTTATCTTTAGGATGAGAGGGAAGGGAACCCACTTCTCTTTACAGAGGGTTCCTTTTTTCTTCTCACAGCTGGGAAGGATGCAGAAGGGAAGAGGGGAAAGGGAGGACTCTGGGAGGGAACGGGTGGGGGGGGTGGGGGGGGGGAGCGGGATGGGCATGTACATCACCCATTGATTGGTCTGGAGGAAGAGCAAGAGGAGAAGGATGAAGAGCAGGATGAACAGGAGGAGGAGGAGGAGGAGGAGGAGGAGGAGGAGGAGGAGGAGGAGGAGGAGGAGGAGGAGGGGAGGAGGAGGAGGAGGAGGAGGAGGAGGAGGAGGAGGAGGAGGAGGAGGAGGAGGAGGAGGAGGAGGAGAAGGGGGACCAGTTTAAATCTAAGACGCATCAGTGATGCTAGAATAAGCCCTCCCTCTAAGTTCCCTCCTCACAGGTCCCTACAAGAGTTTGTTTTCATTGCGTGAAGTGCCAAATGGGAAGTCAGCCGTCTGACAATCCCTAATCCCGCCCAAACACAATTCTTGGGATTTCAACGCTGCGAATTGACGTGACTGATTGCTGCGTCCTGATAGTCCTAAGTCGTGCCAGAACGCCATTCCTGGGAGTTCAACGCCGCGAACCAAAGTGGCTGTTGCGTTCTGATCATCCGGCATCGCGCCAGATCGGAGCTCAACCCTGCGATTCCTCGAAACTGCTGCCAGCCTTTCAGACGAAGGCTCGCAGCGCGGAGACGAGGGCGATGTCGTGAAAACGACCTGTGCTCCATCCTTGAAGCAGTTGCAGACTTCAGATGACTGTGCTCAGGAGGGGATAAAACACACAGACACAATTAATCGTCGATCCCCTGATGATATGGGAAAATATGGGAAGTGGGGGGGAAGACAGAAACCCAGAAAATCTGGGAAAATACGGGGCATCCTTTTATCTGTGTGTATTCATGTGTATGTCCTGGGGGCCCTTCCTTGAAGCAGTTGCGGACTTCCGACGACTGTGTGCTGCGCTGAGGCGAGGCCACGCCCTGCAAGCCGCCCCCCCTGCGTCCCGCAAGCTGCCCCGGGCTCTCGAGGCGAGGGCGCGCGGCGCGAAAGCCGAGTACCACGCTTCGAGGAAGACCCGGCCTCCGTCCTTGGCATTGGAGCTGCTGCAGACCCTCGAGGCGCGAGGACGAGAGCCACATCTTGAGAGAGTCACCCGTGCCCTCCACAACTCAGGAGGGGCAAAAAATACTCAGACACAATGAATCCTCGATTCCCCAGAAAATATGGGAAAATATGGGAAGAGGGGGGGGAAGACGAAAACCCAGAAAATATGGGGCATCCTTCTATTTGTGTGTATTTATTTGTGTGTCCCGGGGCCCCTTCAACAACGATTGTGCACGGCGCCCCAGCCTGCTGGCACGCTTGGGGGTGCGGCGGTCACCGAGCGCGCTCCACTGCTCGCAGAGTGCCTACTCGCAGACGTCCGAAAAATTAGACATGCCTGCTTCGATGTGGTTTCTCGTAGATCCCTCGCGGCGGATCCGGGCCATTCGCGAGTAGTTCCTTTGCGAGTGGTGGAATGCGCTCGTCTAGGCGGGGAGGAGTCGTCGACAATGAGAAAGGATGGAGGAGGAGGAGGAGGAGGAGGAGGAGGAGGAGGAGGAGGAGGAGGAGGAGGAGGATGTGGAGGAGGAGGAGGAGGAGGAGGAGGAGGAGGAGGAGGAGGATCAGTGTAAACCCAAGAGTCATCAACGACGTCAAAATAAACCCTCCCTCCAAGCTCCCTCTGCATAGGCCCCTGCAACCTTTCATTTCCATTGAGGGAACTGCCTCGTTGGAAGATAACTGTTTGAAGACCCTGAAGCATGCCAAAACATTGTTCTCGGGACTCCAACGCCACGGATCAGCCTGACCGTTGCGTCTTGACGGTTCTAATCGTGCCAGAACGCCATTTTTGGGATCTCAACCCCGCGAATCAACGTAGCTGCTGCGCTCGAATAATCTTGAATCTTTCCAACACACTATTTCTGGTTCGCTGACCATGGGAATCCGTGAAACTCTTGCAACTTCTGTCAATGAATGCGCGCGGCGCTAAGGCGAGAGCCACATTTCGAACAGGAGCTGCCCTCAATCCGTGAAGCTGTGTTATTACGTAAAACGAATGTGCGCGGCGCTAACGCCAGAGCCACATTCCCCAATCAGAGCTTGCCTCTGTAGAGGTCCTAGCGGATTCACATGGTTAGGTGAGGTGTGCCACCGATTTCGACGGCCCGCCCGGGTGCCCGGGTGCCCAGGTGCCCGGGTGCCCAGGTGCCTTATAGCCCAATAGCCTTGTAGCCCTATAGCCCCTTTGCCCTGAAGCCCCTGTAGCCCAATAGCCCAATAGCCTTATAGCCCTATCGCCCTATATCCCTATAACCCTATAGCCCTATAGCTTTAGCCTTATAGCTTCATAGCCCTATAACTCTCTAGCCCTACAGCCCTAGAGCTCTATATGCCAGTCGCACTATAGCCCTACAGCCCCATAGCCCTCTATCCCTATAGCCCTATGGTCCTATACCCCTACAGCCCCATAGCCCTACATACTCATAACCCTATGGCCCTATAGCCCTATAGCCCCAGAGCCCCGTGGCCCCATAGCCCCATAGCCCTATAGCCCTACAGCCCTATAACCCTATGGCTCTAGCCCTATAGCCCTATAGCCCTATAGACCTATAGCCCTATGGCCCTATAGCCCTTCAGTTCCATAGCCCTATAGCCCCATAGCCCCATCGCCCTATAGCCCAGTAGCCCCTATAGCCCTAAAAAGGCTTTGATTGGGTTTTTCTTCGGTGTCATAATGAAATCGGGTCGCCCTCAATCTGCGAAACTCCTTACAAACTGTTAAAGCGAATGTGCGCGGCGCTAAGGCGAGAGCCACATTCTGAAAAGGAACCGCCCTCGATCCGTGAATCCTCTACACTTTTGTAAACGAATGTACGCGGCGCTACGGCGAGAGCCGCATTTTGAAAGCGGGTCGCCCTCAATCAGTGAAATTCTTGCAAATGTTTAAAACGAATGTGCGCGGCGCTAAGGCGAGAACCACATCAAAAAACACCTGCCCTCCACATGTGAAACTGCTGCCATTTTTGAGTTCCAGAGATTCAGAGCCATAGATTGTGAGGGAGTCTCAGGCGAAACGCCCGGTCCGCCCTAAAAGCTGGCCTCGGGGTGCGACAGGGAGAGATATGTAGAAGAAAAAGGAACGGAGGAGGAGGAGGACGAGGAGGAGGAGGAGGATGTGGAGGAGATGGAGGAGGAGGATTATTAGTAGGAGGAGGAGCAGGAGGAGGAGGAGGAGGAGGAGGAGGAGGACCAGTGTAAACCCAATAATCATCAATGACGTTGGAGTAAATCCTCCCTCCAAGCTCCCTCTTCATAGGCCCCTGCACTGGCTCATTTGCATTGAGGGAACTGTTTCGTTGGAAGACAACCGTTTGAAGTCCCTGAAGTATGTTAAAACAATATTCTTGGGACTCCAACGCCACGGATCAACCTGACTGTTGCGTCTTGACGGTTCTGAATCGTGCCAGAACGCCATTTTGGGATCTCAACCCCGCGACTCAGCGTAGCTGCTGCGCTCGCATAATCTTGAACCCTTCCAACGCACCATTTCTGGTACGCTGACGATGGGAATCCGTGAAACTCTTGCAACTTCTGTCAATGAATGCGCGCGGCGCTGAGGCGAGAGCCACATTTTGAACAGGAACCGCCCTCAATCCGTGAAGCTTTGTCATTCGTCTAAAAAGAACGTGCGCGGCGCTAACGCGAGAGCCACATTCCCCAATCAGAGCTTGCCTCTGTAGAGGTCCTAGCGGATTCACATGGTTAGGTGAGGTGTGCCACCGATTTCGACGGCCCGCCCGGGTGCCCGGGTGCCCAGGTGCCCGGGTGCCCAGGTGCTTTATAGCCCAATAGCCTTGTAGCCCTATAGCCCCTTTGCCCTGAAGCCCCTGTAGCCCAATAGCCCAATAGCCTTATAGCCCTATCGCCCTATATCCCTCAATCCGCGAAGCTTTGTCATTCGTCTAAAAAGAACGTGCGCGGCGCTAACGCGAGAGCCACGTTTTGAACAGGAGCCGCCCTCAATCCGCGAAGCTTTTTGCAAATTTGTAAAACGAATGCACGCGGCGCTAAGGCGAGAGCCACATTTTGGAAAGGAACCGCCCTCAATCCGTGAAGCTCTTGCCCAAATTGCTAGAACGAGTGTGCTCGGCGCTAAGGCGAGAGCCACATTTTGAAAAGGAACCGCCATCAATCCGTGAAACGCTTTGCAAATTGTGAAA